AACCCATGTGAAGAAAGCTTGAGGTGCAGCAGCTAAAGAATTGAAAAGAATGCATGAAGTGCCACACCCATGCCAAAAGAAGAAAGGAAAAGAAGTATGGGATGGAAGCAAACAAAAATGAATTGATTCCAACCACACTAACTTAGACAAGATGAAGTGGGAGTTATGAATTGTATTGGAATAGGAATGGTGGTGTTGGAATTCATCATGATGTTCCTCCCTCTAAGCCCTATAAATAGAGAAGTCTTCAAGCTTCAAAATCACACACCAAGCTCCACAACTCTTGAGCTTTCTCTCCTTCCTCTATCTTTATAGTTCTAAATTTCTGTTTAAGTTTTATGTATTTTATGGGGAACTAACTCCCTAGCTAAGGCTAAACTTTTAATATGAGTGTGTAATTTTTATTAGTTTGATCCAAACTTAAGCTTTAATGTGGATTTGTAGTTTTTGTTCAAATGGAATTTGTAGTTTTCTTTTTAATTGATTGATGAATGTTTGATAATCTATTTCATGGGTTCAATCATGTTTTTCCCATTGTGTAGTAAAAACTTTCATGCTTTTAAAAGAGAAGAGAATTACTTAGATTAATTAATAGAATTTTGATGAAGATTATTTTTTGATAGTTTGTTGCCAATGGTACAAGTTATGCTTAGAATACTTCTAAAGGAAATTAAAAAGAGCTTTAATTATTTTGAACAACTACAATGGAAAATATTTTGTGGATCAAATTATTAAGAGTTGCATGTTTATGTTAAAAGTGGAACCCCAATGCCTTAGTGTTTTAGTCAATTAAATTTTCTCTAAATCAAATCTTGCATAAATCCACCTCTCAATCACACTTGTTCTTTTTTCATCTCTGTTATTTTCTTTACACTGCTCTCTGTAGATACGACACTCGGACTTTCGAGCTACACTACTATACGACACCTCCCTTGGGTTTTGCAAAGTGGTGCGAACACGTACCTCATTTCTTTGTAACAATTCCAAACCCAGTATGGAGGGAAACCCCAAGTGACATCTAACCATCTTGCGTACAACGTCATGCATCTAGATTTCTTCTCAACCCATACTTTCTGCATGCACAATGATTAAAAGAATGGGGAAAACAAGTTAAAAGATAAGCACCTTGCAATTGTCTAGTAATAAATAATTAGGCTCACCACTTTCTTGAACTCCTGGAATTCGCCTTTCGCCGAATCCGTCATGATCAAATTGTTTCACCAGTGTCAGAGAGAGGGAAGAACTGACCTCACCTGCTCGGCTTCTCTAAAACTTTTACAACCAACCAGTTTGGAATTGGAAGGAACTGAGTTTCATATAGTTTTTATAAAGGCCAAATAGTCATTTTCGTCCCCATAGTTTGGGTCAAGTTTTACCTTACTTTAATACTATAGTTTTTCAACACTAACTTAGACAAGATGAAGTGGGAGTTATGGATTGTATTGGAATAGGAATGGTGGTGTTGGAATTCATCATGATGTTCCTCCCTCTAAGCCCTATAAATAGAGAAGTCTTCAAGCTTCAAAATCACACACCAAGCTCCACAACTCTTGAGCTTTCTCTCCTTCCTCTTGTGAATTTGTAGTTTTTGTTCAAATGGAATTTGTAGTTTTCTTTTTAATTGATTGATGAATGTTTGATAATCTATTTCATGGGTTCAATCATATTTTTCCCATTGTGTAGTAAAAACTTTCATGCTTTTAAAAGAGAAGAGAATTACTAAAGATTAATAGAATTGTGATGAAGATTATTTTTTGATAGATTGTTGCCAATGGTACAAGTTATGCTTAAAATACTTCTAAAGGAAATTAAAAAGAGTTTTAATTATTTTGAACAACTACATTGGAAAATATTTTGTGGATCAAATTATTAAGAGTTGCATGTTTATGTTAAAAGTGGAACCCCAATGCCTTAGTGTTTTAATCAATTAAATTTTCTTTAAATCAAATCTTGCATAAATCTATTTCTCAATCACACTTGTTCTTTTTTATCTCTGTTATTTTCTTTACACCGCACTCTGTGGAAACAACACTCGGACTTCCGGGCTACACTATTATATGACACCTTCCCTTAGGTTTTGCAAAGTGGTACAAACAAGCTCTTCAGATTATCCAAGTTCTTCATTTTCCTAGTGTAAGCTTACTTTTTTGCAATTTAATTTCAATTGTCTTTACATTCAAGTTTAATTCAAGTCTTTATCGCTTTAATCTATTTTATCGCATTTACATTTCTGTCATTTCGTTTACCGCATTTACGTTTCTCGCACTTAGATTTTTGTCATTTTGTTTACTGCATTTACAGTCACTGCACTTATCACAAAAATCCTAAAAATAGTCATACAAAGCTCAATCATCCTTGATCTCAAGGAAGAAAAAGAACCTAGGCCAAGAGGAGGTTCCTTGCTTGGTCGATCAATCGTTTGATTAAAAGTCAGAAGCACAAACACACTCACACGATCTTTCCATCCAAGCCATCAAGTGGCTTGATGGTGGCACGCCTACGCATCTCAAGAGAAGAAGGACCAAAAACTCCTTCCATTGGCCTACCCGGCCAAAAAGAGGGAAACACACACCGACTTTTAAATGTTTGTAATGCTTTGATTTTCCTTTCTATTTTATTGTAAATGAGAACCATTTTCTATAGATGCTGCGGAAAGATCAGGTTTCTTTCATAGTTTATGAAGAAAAAAAATGAATTTGCAGTGATCAACAATGCAATTTGAGGTCAAAATGACATCAGTCAAAATGTAGTTTTGAGAAGGTGAAATTGCTAACTAGAATGTCTATGATCACTTCAAGGATTTCATATCACGGGAACACCAAAATGCCTTTGTTTAAAATCTATGGTTTGGTTCAGATGCTATCATCACAGGGACTCAACCTTAGTCCTGGCCGTTGAAAATTGCACCACGACACCTGATTTCATTCTTTGTGAATATCAATCTTAGTAAACCTCTCTTCCTCTTACAAGCCCCTCTCTCTCACTTATTGACGAAGATGCAGAGGAAGAGAGAAGAAGGTCACAATTTACTTACATCACGAACCTCCAGGTAATGGGGAGAGTTGGATTTAAGTTCCCAATCTTTCTCACATTGATCCATTATGTGACATCATGGTTGCTTCTTGCCATTTTCAAGACACTTTCAATTCTTCCAGTTGCTCCTCCTTCTAGAACTACTCCTTTCTCTTCTATCTTCTCCTTAGGTGCTGCCATGGCTTTTGCCTCAGGTCTTGCCAATACAAGCCTAAAGCATAACAGGTCCTTCCTTGCTAGCTTTCTTTCATCTTGTATGTAGTACTAACTTGTTACAAACATACATTGTTCGGCTTCCTCACCTTTCTGCTTGTTGCAGTGTTGGCTTCTACCAGATGGCTAAAATTGCTGTCACTCCTCCTACCATTGTTTCTGCTGAGTTCATTCTCTTCAGGAAAACCATTTCTTTTAACAAGGTGAGTCAAAATACTTTTGTCCCATTTCTTTTGCTAACCTTCGTTCCTTTTTTCAGGTTCAAAGAACCATACTTAAGTTCTCGTTTCGATTTCCTATCTCTATGCAGATAATCATCGGAAGTCATGGTTGTGCAGGTTTTGGCTCTAGCTGTTGTCTCAGCAGGTGTGGCAATAGCAACCGTAACAGAAGTGGAGTTCAATGTGTTCGGTGCTTTAATTGCAATTGCATGGATAGTCCCAAGTGACTTCACATGTTCTGTTTATGCAGGGCAACCTCAGCGACTTCACATGTTGTTCTTGGACAGTACAAGACTTGTGTGATACTACTAGGGGGCTATCTTATATTTAATTCGGATCCACCTATCATCCTGTTCACTCCTATAAGTGATTATATTATTAATCAATAAAATGTGAATATCAGATGGAAGCCTCTATTGAGCCTAAGAACATGTCTTCACATAAATTTTATCCTCCCCTCGACCCTTAATGCATTATTCATGATGGATTTGTTTAATCTTGAATATTTTTCCGTCTTTTAGGGAAAGAGAAACACCAATCGCTAAAAGCTCATCCTCATACTGAGAAAGGCATGATGCCATCTAATTTTTTTCATTTTCAGGTAAATTTTAGTTTTAAAATGATAAGACATTAAGAAACGAGTACTCTTCCTTCTTTTTTTTCCGTACTTCCTTGCAATTTTTGGTAGCGAAAAACAATTGTTAAATGATACCAAACAGAGAAGGCAATTCTCATAGACCAATTACAACCGTATAATACGACATTCTTTGCTATCATTAATATACAGGTGAGACATCAGAAAGGAAAAATTGGAAAATCCCACCTCTACTCTATCATCCTCTTCTCTTACTTCTCCTATAACATCTTAAAGGAATTACTAAGTTTCAAAGCTAAATACTCATTTCCAACCAAGGGATTTTTCTTTTTGAAAAAAAAAAAAATTACTAAGAGGCTAGGCGCTACAGAATAGATGAGGAAAGCAAAAGACAATAAAAGATGAACCATGGAAAAACCCAAACCTATCTTCTTTCAACTTCAGATGGTCAAGATGATATTCCAAAAATGTCTGGGCAGCATTTCATATTTACACTCAAAACATGCCAGATATCAGATTTCCAGTTTAACTCAATCCTCAGAAGATGTGTTTCTGTGTCGTCACTCAGCAAAGTTCTGCCAAATCAAAAGTCCTAATTCCAAGTCATCTGTGTATGTTGTGGCTGCTGATAAGCAGCAGACTGTGGTCCTATAGTTTCAGCAGCTCCAGCCACAGCCTGAGACTGTTGCAGAAATGTTGGAGAGGCAATCGTTTGCCCAGGTGGATAAATTCCAGCCATGCCACCATGCCCAGCCTGCATGGGCGAGAAGGTGAGACGCGGCCCCTGAGGAAGGTTGTACATAGAGCTTACTTGCAAGCTGGACATATCTTGTCCCGGAGCATGTATCCAAACAGTTGAACCCTCAGTCTGCAAAAAAAAAAATTCACCGGAAAGGAATTCTATTAGCTAGTGCAGACAAAGAACTTTATAAGAAAAACAGAAAGGGAAGAACAACTAATATGCTGAAGCTTTGTTAGCATGCAAGGGAATTAAAACTTCAAGTAAAGGTACAGAATGAAGACCAACCAGTTGTCCAGTTGTGTAGATATGATTTTCCTTCAATTGAGATGCTCCAAGATCTTCATTACCAACGGAGCTTCCAGATGTAACTGCTGAACCGGGAGCATAACCACCAGGGGTGTTGATAAATGAACCACCAGATTGAATACTATATTGAGTTGGATTTCCAGCATTCACCCCAGCCTTGAAATGTGGAAGAGGGAATTTAACCCCAGCAGCAGCTGCCGCAGGTGGTGGTGGTAGAAATACATTCCCAGCTGAAGGTTGAGGAGGAAAGCCATTGTGACCTAAAAACTGGTGTATTGGTGGCATATAATATGGAGAGAGATAGTGGCCATATGGGTAGAAATTAGGGGGATAAGTCTGCCTGTAAACCGGAACTGACTGCTGAGAGACAGGTATGGAGCTTGGCAGTGGTGGAGTTGAGTTTGGGCTAGGCACAGCAGCAGAATTTCCACCCTGCAATACGAAATACACGGATCAGAAGCATAAAATAGTAAAATGGATATTGATCTAATACTTAAGGAACTCACAAAATACAACTAAAAACGAATTTGCTCTAGAAAGTTCCAAAGCACATACAAATTCACTCTTGGTAACTGACAGAGTACAGTTGAACTATGTTAGTCCTCTCCATATTTGGATATGAAATTATTGATGGATCCCATAAATTTACTCAACATTGATTAACTACATGTATTTCCTGTAGAGTAATATGCGCAATACAATCGCAATGTCAATACACGTTGTCTACAATCGACAAAGTACAAGGTGCCTTTATTTTCAGATATTAAAAGATATATATGGCAACTGAAGGAATATATCAATACTAGAAAACTTTTCAAATTATTAAATAAGTCCATTCAAACCACTTATATTTACCATGGAAATGAAGATATAGACCCCACAAAGTTTAAACAAATCAAGAACCGAACATTGATATGCCAAAGAAAACAAAATGACAACCTTAATAGATAAATAACTAATAAGACATAATTAAAGAGCTTACAACAAAGTTCGGAAGGTGGGGTGTTTCATGTGCCTGATTATCATGCCCTTCCACCTGTAAAAGCTGGCTCCCTAGCATGGGGGGAAAGAACCCAAGATTATAGCTAGGGGCATGTAGAGCAGTTTGGCTCTGTGGACCTTCTGGTGGCAACTGCGACTCCTGCTTTGGAAGTTCACTTTTTGAGTCTGTACTTGAAGAGACATTACCCTCTGTAGGCGGTAACTTTTCAAGCGCGTTAGGTATTGATGGTGGATTCTCAGAAAAATCTCCTTGCACACGTGAGGATAAAATATCATTGCTGCATAAAAAAAATAGAATGTGACTAAAACTTCTCAAAAGAATAATATCATAGTATACAAAGGTCCTGTAGTAGGCAATATAAATAACTTATGCTATGGAAGAGAGACTAACTATAAATCTGGGTAAATATCTTACTCAAACTTATGTTTTTTTATCATTAAGCATTAGAGAAAAGCACAATTCATATACTAAACTAACCCAAGTAGATATACACAGAAAACAGCATTCACCAACCTAGGAGAAGGTTCTTTAGTGGTTTCATCAGTATCCTGAGAAGATTCAACAGCACCTATAGAGAAGTTATCACCACCAGTACCATTAACTGAGTCTACTCTCGGTCCAAAAGTAGCATCAATACTTCCAAAGGTCAATACATTTTTCAAAGCTTCAGGGACTTGGATATGATTTGGAAAAGTAACATGTTTTGCAAATGAGAGACTCGAGTCACGAGGCACTTGAGAAGTAGCTTCAACAGCGTTGGTTACAACCTCCAGTGTGACCACTGTTAAGAAACATAAGCAAATTGAAAACACCTACTAACAAAAGTAATAAAATTGATAACGTTTACTAAGCACACACAAGGATAACAATAATAGATACTAAATACCTGCTGATAAAAGTAATGGCAGATACGGCACAAGCATGGATACAAACTATGATTGACTAACATAATTGAAAATGAAAGCAGGAAAACACCATTCATGAATTAAGTTTAACTTTCGACGCACGCACACATCTGAGAGCATGAAAATAAAAGGCAACTCTCAGTGTGTAACATGTTAAAATACCTTTCAGAGGAACAGCAGGCTCTAACTGTGACTGTTTAACACTTTTAGAAGGCAGCTTGGCCAAGGAACCATCATCATTCGAGGGAAAATGGGGTTGTGAAGGCTTAATATTCCAATTCTTTTCAGCCACCACCACAGAATTAGCAGATCTGGAGGCCCTTTTTACACTCTTGGACGACTCCAAGCCAATAGCATCAACAGAGCCTTTTTTGTTTTCTTGAACATGATTTGATACAGCAGGATCTGAAGCAGAAGAGTAAACAGAGGAAGCAGATGCTGATGGGGCAGAAATTGGGAGCTGTTCAGGTATTGACACGGGCTTTTCATGATCCAGTGAGCCAAAGGTAGGTGTAGATGCCACAGCGGCAGGGCGAGATGCTGCAGCTCCTAACTTCTTTACATCTATAGCTGAACCTCCTTCACGAACATTGTTATCAACACCCATAGGGGATTTGGGGGCAGAACTGTGAATAGAACTCCCATTTGATAGGTTTGTGACCCCATTTGGTGTGCCAGTTGAAGCCCTGGAGATAAAAATATATATCATAAATTAAGAGGAAAAATAAAACCCAAAGTTCTGCTCAAGCATGCAGTAGAGTTAGGACACAAAACAGTTCTTCATAGATACAAAAGGCATAAATTAAAAAGTTAGCTAAAAATTTACGTTGGCATTGAAGTTGCAGCAATGTTTTTCATTTTCTGTAGAACTGGCTTAACAGAAGAGGGCATAGAACCTCTATCTGCAACGTGATTGACCCCATTTTCCCTCCGAGCAGAAGCATTCCTCCCACCACCAGCATCTGAAAGTTAATTGGAAAACAAGAAGGTAATTTATATCAATAGGAAGCAACTTTACGTTAACATAAGGCAGAAACCCATAGATCAATAAAAATTAGTAATCCTCACAATTGCAGCACAAACTTGGTTTTGAAATCTGCTGACACTGTTCAAATCAAACAAATACTTTCAAGCAAAGTAACATTTAATGGATTACATGGGAAAAAAAGAGGAGGAGGGGGGTGTGCAAGTAATCTCATCAGTAATTACATATTTTGATTAACGGTCAGATTTCATGCAATAACCATATTTTGATTAACGGTCAGATTTCATGCAATAACCATCAGCCTTCTAGTGATCTATTGCTTCTTTCAAGGGGTTGAAAAACTTCACGCAAAACCCACCTTTCTATTTCCAGGTTGTGACACCATAAGTCACTGACAGAATAAAAATTATTTTAAAAAATTAGTCTGCAGAGGTTCTCTTATGCTCAGTTTCTCTCAGCACACTTAATACCACTACAGCTATCATTAACCAGGAGGGGTTAGAGATATTTGAGTTATTCCTTTAAGCAAAGGAACAGGGTCAAACGAACATCTTAACTGGCCAATATGGAGGACATGTGGAGGATTATAATGCTTTGAGTTTAAACAACTAACTAAAAGATAAACATACAAATATATCTAGACCTAGCTGAATATTAAGTGTGCAAATATATGTTATAAACAGATTGAAAGTTTACCAGAAGAGATGCTGGAAGAATAATTCCCTTGGCCACCACCCCTAGACACTCGCCTCTGTGTGCCTGGTGGCATTCTAGAATCTTCAGATGCTCTACCTTTCAAGTTCTGGAACAGTAACAATGTTGAATTATAAAGTAGCCTAGCTAACTTCAGATGAGCACGCAAATGAAAATAAGATATAGACAAAATTAATCATTATTATACTAGAACAGCAAGCAGGACTCAAAATGTCATTTGATGAAACTCTTAAATCAAATGAAATGGAAAATTCATATTCATAACTGGCCTGTATATATCCATACCACCCAATTGAGAAGTATTCCATTTCCAACTATACAAAAGTAAAACATGGATGATGGAGAAGAAATAATTTTGTTTCACAGCCTCACCAAGCTTGTAAAGCCAAGTTCACCAGTTTAGTCCAAAGACATCTTTCAATTATTTAAAACCGTAATCAACATTAAGAAGATAAAGCCTCCTTCAGATTATAGAAGAACACAAGATATTACCTCCTTCCTCCGATCTTTTCTCCTTTTGACTTCATGAAATGTATCTGCCAACCCAAACAATAAGATCATTATCTTCAGTAGTTCAGACTACACAAATCTTACATGAAATGGAATGTGTTTCCTACATGCTGCATGAGTAATATGCATGACAACTTCTACAAAACAACGACGAGGAAGGACACAAGCAAAGACAGACAATATAATTGCAGTAAGACAACTGAAGGAGCAATCTGATTCAGGCATGTAGGTCAAAAGTTTATATGCGGCCGAAGATAATTGTGAATCCCAGATATTTCAATCACTTAAAACCAAACACCAGAATAAATTAAATGGCAAAGTCGCAAGCATATAACAGAGGTCCTAGTTATGTAGTAATTTGTCACCATAAAATTGTTTCAAGAAGCATAGATAGTAGTTGACAAATAAACCAATTTATTATCAGAGATACGAGTCCACTGATAAGAATGTCCTATCAAAACCAAGGTGCACTGTATGACAAATAATATCATACCCTATTCTAAAATGTAGACTTCACTACTACTTTGCAAGATTAAGATTAAAAAGAAACTAACTAATGTATTAGCCCATAAAAACCAACATTTGGAAGCGCACACGAGCATATAAATGTAAGCAACAGAAAAGCACCACCATCATTGAAATATTTTAATGATCAATGCAGAAAAATAGACCAAGTGATCTTTCACTTTAAACAATTTAGCTTCGGCAGAGTAGGCTTTCAAATCTTATTAAAGAACCGTGACAAATTAAATTGCAAAGCTTCGATATCGACTGCTGTGAAGAAAATAACATTTTTATTACCATTCTCATTAACTTTTACCAATATTTGTTAAGGGGATACCAAATTTCAGTTTTTAGCTTTTGAGGGCCGGAATTTTAAATCTTTCAGTAAAGAAATCAGCATAAAACACAAACTTTAAACACAGTCCGGCTCCTACCGAATTACAAAGACAACAAACCGAACGCAAATAAGAAACACAACCAAAGAAGTTTCTTCTCAACTACGCAAACGCTCGTGCTCTTCTTAAATTGATTAAAAATGTTTCAATTTTCTTTCATATCTTCGCTTTTCTCAAGAAGCAGACGCAGCCCATAAAAGAAAAATCAAAACCCAGAAGAAACCACCGATCACATGGCCAAAATAAAACAAACCCCACAAAACTCCCCACCAAGAACACACAACACAAACACCCATCAATCGAAACCCTAATGCAAACACATACTAACATGCAGAAAATATATCCGTTCACCTAAATACAAGAGCTTTTGAGCGGTTTCGTTGGGATCCATAGAGCACTCCTTGAGCACAGCGTAGATTTCATCGTCGCTGTGTTGCTTCTTGGTGATCTCTCTGATGTCCTGGATCGTATCCTTTACATTGCTTGGGATTGAAACCCTAGTCTCCCCACCGCCGCTCATGTTATGTTTGAGACAGAGAAAGAGAGAAAAGAGTGTTTTTTGTGTCTTGTGTATTGAGAGACTTTGAGAGAGAGAAAGAGAGGCAGCTCAATAATAAAGGGGCCCTCTATTTATATTGGTGAGCATATATTGGTGTGTGAAGGACTTGGAAATTTTATGACGGGGCTGGGCTGTGGGCAAGCCTACATGGAACCTTGGGAGATACGGGATTTGGATTTGTGTTTGTTTCTGGGATTGAAGGGCAAAAAGGGCAGAAAATAGAGAGAGAAAGACAGTGACAGCAGAGAATGACGGGGCTGGGCTGTGGGCAAGCCTACATGGAACCTTGGGAGATACGGGATTTGGATTTGTGTTTGTTTCTGGGATTGAAGGGCAAAAAGGGCAGAAAATAGAGAGAGAAAGACAGTGACAGCAGAGAGCGACTTCACAGAGAGAGAGAGAGAGAGAGAGAGATTTGTGTATACTTTTTTCTCAAGGTTTTTAGATGTAACTGGAAATTTTTGGGGAGGTCCAAAAAGGCTAGTGAGGAAAAATAGACCACGTTCGATGAAGGGGTAATTACACGAAAGGATACTTTTCTGTTGTGACTTCTACATTTGATATCATATAAATGACTATTAATTAATTAGTTGAATTTTCCTAACGGCTTATATTTACGCGTCACAATACATATGAGAATTCACAATCGTTGATTAATATGAATCGCGTAATGAATGGCTAATATAGTTTACAGTTACTATTACGTCTTTGAACAACTAAAATGCTTAGTGTGTCTACTCAAATACTGCATTTGGTTATGTTTAAATAGTTTTTTTTTTATTTCCTACAAATCTAGTTCTAACAATTACCTCTAACTAAATTTTACCTTTCAATCTTATTATTTTTAAAAATAAAAATAAAAATAAATCATCACTTTTATTTCCCAAGAACATCATGTTGTAGAATAAAATAGAATCAATTAGAGCAGAGAAACCTAAAGAAAAGAAGGCGGCACAAATAGGTAATTTTCGTATTTTATTGGAGATTAAAGTAACTTTAGAATAATTTTGTAATTCTAAAAAAGAAAGAATAATTTTGTAATTTTATTTGTTAAATAGGTCATTTGTTTTCTTTTATGGATTCATAGGCTTTAGGGTTTTTTTCAATAAAAAAAGGTTTGCAATAAGAATTTTCAAGAGGAAATATAATGAAATATTTTTTATGCAAAATGTTAGGGAGACCAATTTGTGTATCGTCTATCTATTTATAGATGTGGGAGCCATTATATTGGTGAGCTCCACTTTTATTAGAGAGATAATACACAAGTTGGTCGATAGTCTCCCTAACATGGCCTTTTTTTATAAGATAGTCGAAACATTGATTAAACAAGAATTATGGTAAAGGGTTTAGGGGTTCATTCAATTCAGGTTCATTCGGGGGTTCAAGTTCGATTTGGGCCTAGTCAACTGGCTCGCTCTGATACTATTTTATGATTTCATAGGGACAGACCCATGTCCAACTACTAGCAACATCAATATTATTACCAACTTACGTTCTTAATATTAATAAACATTATAAATGACATTTCTCATTCTTTAAAAAAATAAATGGGGATTGATTTCTCATGAATTCATTTCCACAAACCAAACGCTTAACTAAGTTTTATCATGAGCTTGTGTAGCCATCATTTTCAATGGGATACATGATTGAATATTGTTTTCTATCAGTCACAACACTCCATATAAAAGTTGGTATATTTCTTTTTGCTAAGTACATATAGAATGGATCTTGACTAATTCACCCTAGATTAATAACCGACCAAATTGGTAGATAAACAAATAGTTTGACTTAAGACACAAGGTACAACTCTTGATTAGAGGGAGACATTACTCTTTGTTTGTTTTGGCTATAAAGACATTATTACATGCTTTAACATATTAAATCTAGAGATAATGAGTAATTGCCAAAATTCAATAAAGGAAAGGTTTTCCAAGCAAACTTAACACACAAGTAAGGACACACCAAGTACGAGAGCCTTTCCATAGATGCAGAACTGTCAAGTGACAAACTGAATTTGAGCATATGTTTAGACAGTTTCATACAATAATTTTTTCCATCACATGTTTTCATGAAGTATATTAAAGACAATTTGAATACATAATTACTGCAAAAAACAAAGTACATGAAATATTGAAGAAAAAAAAAAGTTAAAAGTCTTTAATGTTCTAGGAACAAAGCTAAAAAAGGAAAATGTTTCAATGGCCTATGAAAATCATTCAAAACTACTTCTAGAATCGTTAAAAGTGCTCATGACAGTGTTTGACAAAAAAATAACCCCCTTAAAAATAGTTCTGAATCATGGAATGACTTTTTAAGAAGTATTTTTAGTATCGTTTTTACGTGCAACTTCTAATAAAAACGCTTCTAACCATGAGTGCTTCCTTATGACCAAAAAAAAAAAACATGAGTGCTTCCTAGAAACCGAGTCCCAAATCCTACTTGTATACAGTATAGTCTAGAGCGGTGTGTGACCATATATTTGGTATTTTCACCATGAACAGAAAAGGAGGCGATGGACAGAAACGGAAAGCCATATCAGCGTGGTGATGAGTGTACGTAGTATATTTCTTTTTCATGAGGGGCAAATTTGAAATTTCAAATGTATACAATATTTGTACATATATTTATATATATGATGTAATAATATTCTCCACTCAAAGGTTCAAAACCCTAATCTGTATTCTCTCTCTCGCTCGCACCTCCCAAGCTCATTACTTTCCGTTTCTCAAATTTTCCCGAGAAAATCCGATATTAAACGCAATGGGTTCGAAGTCGAATGCCGGTCATCCTCACACAGGCGATGGCGCCAGCCCTGGGTTTGTCTCCTCTCTCTCTATCTCTCTCCCTCTCTTATAACACACACCAAAATTAGCTGTTTTCCTTTTGGTTCTCGAGAAAATTGGATGTATCTGAGAAAATAGAAGTGAATATTTTGTATCTTTATATTTTCTAGCTCGGTTTCCTTTTGTTTCCTTCATTTTCTCGTTATTCAAGCATGAATGCATCCTTTGTAAGACCCTCTCTGCGTTTCCTCACCTTTTTGTTCCCTTCTAATTGGTTGTGATATTTGATTTGTAATGTGCAGAAAGATCTTTATCGGTGGATTGGCAAAAGACACTACATATGGTGAGTGCTCTTTTTCAGAAGTTTTTTTTTAATTTTTTCATTTCCAGTGCGTTCACAAAAGTTATTTAGCTAGATTTTTTTTTGGAAAAGAAAGAAATTTAAATTCTAGTCATATGGTGAAAATGTGTAGCATGAAAACTAGTGAGTTATATGGACTACTTATGGCTACTTGTTGTCTTTCTATTAGACTTTAGTTGGGATTGAAATTATTATTTGCAGTATCTTCTGAGATATGGGATTTTGGTTGGTGGGTAAGGTTTTGTTACTGATGTATTGCGTTCTATTTTGTTTTAATTGCTTGTGCAAATCAAATCAATAGCTACATTTACCAAGCACTTTGGGAAATATGGAGAGATAGTGGACTCAGTGATAATGAAAGATCGCTTCACGGGTACGCCAAGGGGTTTCGGTTTTATTACCTATGCCGATCCATCAGTTGTTGACACAGTTATTGAGGAAACTCATGTTATCAATGGCAAGCAGGTAAAGCAGCTCTTTACGACTGTGTCTTTCTGTGGTTTATTATGAACGAACTTGCTCAATATAGATGGATGCTATTACTCGTTTTGGGGCTTTATATTTTATATAAGATGTTTATCCAATTGATAGTGATGTCAAAAACTACATGCTTAGTCAAAGGCAACTTAGTATTTCTTTTAGCGGTATTACTATATACTGAATGAAATTTGAGCAGGTTGAGATCAAGAGAACAATTCCGAAAGGACAAGGGCAATCAAAGGATTTTAAGACAAAGAAGATATTTGTTGGTGGAATCCCATCATCAATCATTGAGGGTATGCTCTAATATCTTATTCTCATTTTATGTGATTACAACTTGGAAGGATGTTAAACTATTAGTTTTACACTGAAATGTTTTCCAACTCTTATAAAGCATGTTTACGGTATCATGTTACTTTCTTTTTACTTGGCTTGGTGAATTTGTGCAGAGGAGATGAAAAGTTTCTTCTCAAAGTATGGGAAAGTGGTAGAACACCAGATCATACGAGACCATGAGACCAATCGTTCTCGAGGCTTTGGATTTGTAATTTTTGACAGTGAGGAAGTTGTAGATGAGTTGTTATCTAAAGGAAACATGATTGATATGGCGGGTACCCAGGTGAGCTTGTTTAGATGGTCTCTGGGTAACCAGCATGTACACAGATTCCTTTTTGACATGGAGCATCAATTGTTGCATTCTCCTGTTTTGTTAAATCTATGCATTAAAGGGTTGTTATCTTTCATTTTCATTCGTTATTCTAATAATTCACTTTAGTGATTTGGAACTAATTTTAGGTGGAGGTTGTTACAGGTATAGATCTTCTCGGGAAAGGGTGATCCCAGTAGCTCCATTTCGAAATAAACTAGGTTAACTAAGTTGCTTTGTTGTAGGTGGAGATCAAGAAAGCTGAACCAAAGAAAGCCTCAAATCCATCACCTGCTCCTGCATATGGTAGCAATTCTAGGACTCGTTCTTTCAATGATGGCTTTGGTGCATATGGCAGTTCTTATGGTGGTTTTGATGGAGGGTTTGGCCCTGGCCCTTTTAGGACACCAGGTGGTCTGGGTGGTAGATATGGTGGTGGTTATGGTTATGGTTATGGTAGCGATAGTGGAGAATTTGGCGGTGGTTATGGGGGTTTTGGCAGCAGTAGCTTAGGTGGCTATCGAGGTGAATCTTCCCTTGGTTATAGTAGCCGCTTTGGACCCTATGGTGGTGGCTTTGGTGGGGGTTATGGTGCAAGTGGTTTAGGTGGTTATGGCCGAGGTGGTGAAGGCTATGGAAGTTACGGGAGTTCAAACTATGGTGGTGGATATGACTCTGGTCCTGGTGCTACTTATGGCGGAGCAGGTGGACCGTATGGAAGGGGGGGCTATAGTAGCAGTAGTCGGTACCATCCCTATGCAAGGTAGATATAGAAGGCGCTAGTCAGTACATTCCCTATGCAAGATAGTAATGAAGGATTTTCGATGCAGTTGCTTAAGCTTTGCCATAGAAGTCTGGCACAGGTTGCTTAGATTTGTTTCTGGCACTCATTTAGGCACTTGTTGGAACTACTAGAGATTTCCTATGATTGCAGTATGGGAAGCTTTTAAGGTCGGAAGAGTTTATTAGACTACTTCTCTGTTGTATGGTTTAGAAAAACTTTGAAGACTGAAGCACTTGGTGTCTGCTATGGATGTCTTGTAGTTTCATTTCAATTTAGTATGTTGTAGACTGTAGCATCTTATTATGGTGTTTATTACAATCTACTTAGTGATCTAGATAGATGTTCTAATGATTTAATTATCTGCTTAGCCTAGCCTGTGATGTTTACATTAGCAATTGGTCGTGTTATAGTTTTATGTTGGTGCATGTTGGGATGTCTTATTTTGCTAGTTAGTCCGAAATGATGGAGTTCATAGTGAAATGTCTTTTAGTTTGAAATATTAGTTTAAAAGATAACAAGGAATTGATATAAATTGAGAGCTCTAGCAATGACCATTGTGGCATTGGCACTTTTACTTGTGTTTCTGTTGAGGTTCTTCCATTAGTTGTGAAGAATAGATAAATTACCCGGATGCTTGCTCTTAACCAAGTTTAATTTGGATGGGACTCTGGGAATACAGGTGGTTTTTATTGGTAAATTAAACGCTCTGCAAAATAGCATGGCACAAATTGGAAACAATGTCTCTCCTTGAATTTTGTTGTCAGTCAGCCAGTATATAACTGTTTAATTCATGTGCTGCTTTCTGTTGAAATTATGTTTAGCAGTTTCTTATCCTCGTATATTCTTTCATTGGTGAATCTATAAACGATATATAAATTATATAAGATGTACCCTTTAACGCTATTTTTCCCAGTTTGGCTGTTGGCGGTGATCTTGTGAAGTGCAAATACGACTTTGACTTATTTTCCTAGGTTATTTTTGGTCGTTTGTATAAGATGTACCCTTTAACGCTATTTTTCCAGTTTGGCTGTTGGCGGTGATCTTGTGAAGTGCAAATACGACTTTGACTTATTTTCCTAGGTTTTTTTTGGTCGTTTGGTTGATTGAGGCCTTCTTTGTACAAGTTGAAACACTGGCTGTGATTGTATTTTAGAAATTGCTTATGTACCTCCTGTTTTTGTTGAAAAATTAAAAGCTGAGTTTGCTGCAGAATGAGTAAAAGGAATACGATACTGATTCATTGACTTGAAGTCTAATTAAATACAAATGCAAATAACAGAAAGCTAGAAAATAAAGCAACCTATAATCCCACGACTAACAACTCCTAATACTCTGGGATTCTCCTAAGGAATAGGTAAAAGCAACAGACTTCCTAACAAATAGGAAGTTATTGAAACACAAACGACTAAATATCTTAACACTCTACCTTAAACTGAATGCCATCTATGCAATCAGTTTAAAAAGGAACTTGAACAAACTCCAAGTAATCCACGCAACTTCTCAAATGCTTCCAGCTTTAGAGGTTTGGTCAGGATATCTGCAACTTGGTCTTCACTTCGACAATAAACCAAATCAATGGTATTTTCAGTTACAAGATCACGAAGAAAATGATACCTCACATCTATATGCTTGCTTCTTCCATGTAAAACTGGGTTCCTGGAGAGTTTAATAGTTGAACTATTATCACAATGAATCACAATAGGCCCATGTTGATAAAACTGTAGCTCTTCAAGAATCCTTCTCAACCAAATTGCTTGACAAGCAGAGGTTGCTGCAGATACGAACTCTGCTTCAGTTGTGGACAAAGTTACAACCTGTTGCTTCTTTGATGCCCATGATATGGCACCTGAACCCATCATAAACAAATGGCCTGTTGTACTCCGCCTATCATCCAAATCACCAGCATAATCACTGTCAATGAAACCAGTCAAAATAGGTCCTCCCATTTTCTTGTAGAAAATACCAAAATCTGTTGTTCCTTTCAAGTAACAAAACACTCTTTTAGCAGCGCTAAGATGCAGCTCCGTTGGTCTTTCCATATACCTACTAATTAGACACATTGCATACATAATATCAGGCCGAGTGGCTGTCAAGTACGTTAAACTTCCAACAATTTGTTTGAAGTAAGTACTATCAACCCTCTCTCCATCAAGATCACTTGAGAGCTTCAATCCCGGTTCTGTTGGAGTCCCAACTGGATTATAATTCTCCATGTGAAACCCCTCCAAAACCTCTTGAGCATATTTCTTTTGCCCAATAAAAAATCCAGTAGCTGTTTGTACTACTTCTATACCAAGATAATATTTCATCTTTCCCAAATCAGTCATGTCAAAATCAGCCATCATAGAATTCTTAAAATCAACAAACATAGCCTCATCATTGCCCGTAAAAATAAGATCATCAACATATAAGCAAACTATCAGGATTTTACCTTCTGCTCCAGACTTGATGAATAGAGTGTGCTCATATGGACATTTGTTGAAACCTGCCTTTTCAAAGTATGCTTCTATACAACTGTACCAGGCTCGAGGTGCCTGTTTCAGGCCATATAAAGCCTTCTTTAATCTGTAAACCTTATGTTCATTACCTTTTATCACATAACCAGGAGGCTGCTCAATGTAGACTTGCTCAAGTAGTTCACCATTAAGGAAGGCCGATTTCACATCAAGCTGGAAGATGGGCCACGAGTTTTGTGCTGCTAATGAGACTACCAACCGAATTGTATCCTGTCTTGCAACAGGAGCAAAAACCTCTTGATAATCAACTCCATGCTCTTGATTGTAGCCTTTCACAACCAGCCTTGCTTTGAACTTGTCAATTTCTCCCTTTTCATTCAACTTCGTCTTATAAACCCACTTTACACCAATGGTTTTTTGCCCTTCAGGAAGATTGGTTAGCTCCCAAGTCTCATTTTTCTCTATAGCTTGAATCTCTGCATCCATGGCTTTTTTCCACTTTTCTTCTTTCACTGCATCTGCAAACAATATAGGATCGGAGCCTGCAAATAAAGCAAAATGAGCTGTTTGGTTGATTGAGGCCTTCTTTGTACAAGTTGAAACACTGGCTGTGATTGTATTTTAGAAATTGCTTATGTACCTCCTGTTTTTTCTAAAAGTTTTTCAACTTCGGAGAAGCGTAGGCTCCCTCCCAAATGATTCTGGCGCACATTTTGGTGGTTTTGCAGCAATGTCCCTTGTTATATCCTTTTCCCCCATCTTTTTGGCCCAAATGCGGCAAAAATTGTTGTGATGAATGCTTTGCATGCTCAATTTTGCACGTGAAAAGTGTCGCACAACTTTGAGGACGAAATTCAAAAAAGATAAGAAAAAGAGGATTAAATGAAGCTGAATTTGTGTGAATTGTGCCCAGTCTTTCTCCTCGTTGAGTAATTTCCGTTGACCAATATAAACTTTGATGCTTTAAGCTACGTCTCCAAGCATGTTGATAGCCCTTGTCTGTTCTCAAACAAGCAATTTAGGGAATTTTTCAGCAAGGGCAATGCGAATTGCTCGAGTCGTTTCTCGTTGCATGTGATTTGTGATTTTAAATTTATACTAACAAAGGATAGCAACCATTTGCGATTCACTAATATGCCGTGAGAGGGTAATGTGCAATTGATTAAAAAGTGTAGAGGTTTGTAGCTCAAATGATTAGTATATAATAATTTTTTTTCCGTGATGTTGAGAGACTTGCTTATTCTGAGTGCATACACCTCTCTTCCTATAGTACATATCACGTGATCATAAAATAACACAATATTTTCATTACTTTTTATTTATTTATTATTTACGGGAATTCGAATTTGGGGTAACTTAAACCGTTCAAAAGAGAAATACCAATAATTAACTGGTTGATGCATTAGTTATTAATCTTGATATTTTGTTTTATGACCTTATAATTAATATGATTACAGAAAACATCCCTAAAACAGAAATTAATGACATCTATGCAAAAAAGAAACCACAAAAGAAGAAAAAAAGAAGACACCGCGTGAGAGAGAGATATATTAGAAGCATTACATAATAATATTCGTGGAACATCGTCTAGATCCCCAAACTTAAAAAAAAACATTGAAAAATTGGACTCTCTGCTCTTCTCTGCTCTGCTTTCTCAGTCTCTCTGTCACTTTCTGTTGAGCCGGCGATTCAGCAACTGAAGTCCAACTCAGTGAGTTTCACCACCACGATCTGTGCGAAGGATCTGAATGTACTTGCCAGATTCTTTTTCAACTCGAGCCTTAAAGCTTTTAAAAACAGCAAAAGCTTCAGATTTCTCTTGCAAGAAATAAATCCATGTTTTTCGACTATAATCATCAATGAAAGTGATGAAATACCTTTTGTTTCCATTCGATGTTGGATTGATTGGACCACAGATGTCTGAATGAACCAACTGTAGGATTTGCTCAGCTCTCCATGCTTTTCCTTGCTGGAAAGACTCACGATGTTGTTTACCAACAATGCAATCTTCACACATTTCTGTGGGACAATTAATCTTAGGTAGTCCTTCCACCATGTTCTTCTCATGTAGGGTTTTCAATCCTTTGAAGCTCAAATGACCATAACGAAGATGCCACAGCCATGTTGGATCTTGCACTCTTGTTGAGAGACACTTCTGGGCATCATACTGAATGTGCAGAGGGAACATACGATTTGCTGTCATTTTTGCTTCTGCTATGAGACCCCTCTCTGGATCGAGATCGCACAGAATGCCTACATAAAGCTGGTGCTGCACGCTCTCAAGCACAAGAGCTCCGCCGTCAACGCCGTCCTCCTCGGCCGCGTCTCCTCCCAAAACGACGCCGTCGAGATAACGGACTCCGTCCCTCTCTTCCACTCGCAAATCGGCCTCCTCCCCCAACTCGAGATCTCCCTCATCCTGGTGATTCCCACATACCCTCCTCCTTCTTTCTCTCTCATCACACTTCTCCCTCTAGGGTTTCAAAATCTTAAATTGAATTTTCCCACGAAACAAACAGAGTTCGAATTTCTTGAAAAGAGATTTAATTTTTGTTGTTTTGATTGAATTGGGTCAGATAGAGGAGCACTATGCTGCTAAAGGAGTGAGCATTGTGGGCTATTTTCACGCCAACGAGAGGTTTTGCTTTTCAAATCTGGGATATAAAACACACTAGAAATTGTCTGCACAGTGTTGTTTTTCATATGAAATTTGATATCCCCTTTTCCCATGACAGAAATGCAAGAGTTGTTCCCAAGCTTCACAGTTTCTCTGAATGTTTCATCCAAATCATAAAATAAAGACTTGTTTCCACACATGTGATTGCTGCAACCCGAATCTAAATACCAAGTATCACCTATCACGAGCTCGGCGGCATTGCCAAGAATATCGGCGATCACATCTATCGCTATCTTCCTCAAGCCGCAATTCTTTTGGTGTGTGATTCGTTCGTCCATGAACCTCTGTTTTTGTAGTTTGTTTGCTGCTTGTTTGATATGGAATTTTATTCTATGTATTTTCATCCATTTTCAGTTAGACAACAGGAAGCTTGAAGCTTTGACAAGAACTAAGGACCGGAGCCCCGTAATGCAGGTGGGTACCTTTAACTATTTTTTCTTTTTCTTGGGGTTAATATGTTCTTGTTTTTTTATATTTTTGGTATGAAGAAGCATTGATCATTTTTTTTTAATGAAAGAAGCGTTGATCATTTTCTTTATCTAATTATATTAATTATATTATATGATGGGTGTATGAGTATCTTTAGTTATGAGCTGCTTGTAGTATGGTAATTAGTTAAACAAAATGAGAGAGGATTTGTTTATGGTACGTGTTTCTTTGCTTCTAACAGTGAGCTTTGCAACATATCAATCGAAAGACTGTCAATGTCATTCGATTCTTCAATGGAACACACCACATAGTCAAATTTGCGTGTCATTGAGCGAAGGATTTTCTCAATGACTGCAACATCTTTCAAATTTTCTCCATGGATGCGCATCTTGTTTGCAATTGACAGTGTTCTTGCAAAGTAGTCAGTTACTGACTCTCCTTCCTTCATGTGAAGAATTTCAAACTCTTTGCGAAGAGCTTGGAGTTGTGCACGTTTCACCCGTGCAGTGCCTTGGTACTTCGTCTTCATTGAATCCCAGATGTCTTTAGCAGTGTCCTTCTTCAGGATGGTTTCGAGAATGGCACGATCTATTGCTTGAAACAAATAATTCTTTGTCTTCAAATCCTTCAATCTCTGATCCTCCAACGTCTTTCTCTGCGCTTCTGTCAAAACAGTCTCACTAGTGTGCACATCGATGCTGGTTTTTATTGGTAAATTAAACGCTCTGCAAAATAGCATGGCACAAAGTGGAAACAATGTCTCTCCTTGAATTTTGTTGTCAGTCAAGCCAGTATATAACTGTTTAATTCATGTGCTGCTTTCTGTTGAAATTATGTTTAGCAGTTTCTTATCCTCGTATATTCTTTCATTGGTGAATCTATAAACGATATATAAATTATATAAGATGTACCCTTTAACGCTATTTTTCCCAGTTTGGCTGTTGGCGGTGATCTTGTGAAGTGCAAATACGACTTTGACTTATTTTCCTAGGTTATTTTTGGTCGTTTGGTTGATTGAGGCCTTCTTTGTACAAGTTGAAACACTGGCTGTGATTGTATTTTAGAAATTGCTTATGTACCTCCTGTTTTTTCTAAAAGTTTTTCAACTTCGGAGAAGCGTAGGCTCCCTCCCAAATGATTCTGGCGCACATTTTGGTGGTTTTGCAGCAATGTCCCTTGTTATATCCTTTTCCCCCATCTTTTTGGCCCAAATGCGGCAAAAATTGTTGTGATGAATGCTTTGCATGCTCAATTTTGCACGTGAAAAGTGTCGCACAACTTTGAGGACGAAATTCAAAAAAGATAAGAAAAAGAGGATTAAATGAAGCTGAATTTGTGTGAATTGTGCCCAGTCTTTCTCCTCGTTGAGTAATTTCCGTTGACCAATATAAACTTTGATGCTTTAAGCTACGTCTCCAAGCATGTTGATAGCCCTTGTCTGTTCTCAAACAAGCAATTTAGGGAATTTTTCAGCAAGGGCAATGCGAATTGCTCGAGTCGTTTCTCGTTGCATGTGATTTGTGATTTTAAATTTATACTAACAAAGGATAGCAACCATTTGCGATTCACTAATATGCCGTGAGAGGGTAATGTGCAATTGATTAAAAAGTGTAGAGGTTTGTAGCTCAAATGATTAGTATATAATTTTTTTTTTCCGTGATGTTGAGAGACTTGCTTATTCTGAGTGCATACACCTCTCTTCCTATAGTACATATCACGTGATCATAAAATAACACAATATTTTCATTACTTTTTATTTATTTATTATTTACGGGAATTCGAATTTGGGGTAACTTAAACCGTTCAAAAGAGAAATACCAATAATTAACTGGTTGATGCATTAGTTATTAATCTTGATATTTTGTTTTATGACCTTATAATTAATATGATTACAGAAAACATCCCTAAAACAGAAATTAATGACATCTATGCAAAAAAGAAACCACAAAAGAAGAAAAAAAGAAGACACCGCGTGAGAGAGAGATATATTAGAAGCATTACATAATAATATTCGTGGAACATCGTCTAGATCCCCAAACTTAAAAAAAAACATTGAAAAATTGGACTCTCTGCTCTTCTCTGCTCTGCTTTCTCAGTCTCTCTGTCACTTTCTGTTGAGCCGGCGATTCAGCAACTGAAGTCCAACTCAGTGAGTGATGGGTGGCGAGTTACGATACGAGATCGCACAGAATGCCTACATAAAGCTGGTGCTGCACGCTCTCAAGCACAAGAGCTCCGCCGTCAACGCCGTCCTCCTCGGCCGCGTCTCCTCCCAAAACGACGCCGTCGAGATAACGGACTCCGTCCCTCTCTTCCACTCGCAAATCGGCCTCCTCCCCCAACTCGAGATCTCCCTCATCCTGGTGATTCCCACATACCCTCCTCCTTCTTTCTCTCTCATCACACTTCTCCCTCTAGGGTTTCAAAATCTTAAATTGAATTTTCCCACGAAACAAACAGAGTTCGAATTTCTTGAAAAGAGATTTAATTTTTGTTGTTTTGATTGAATTGGGTCAGATAGAGGAGCACTATGCTGCTAAAGGAGTGAGCATTGTGGGCTATTTTCACGCCAACGAGAGGTTTGACGATCACGAGCTCGGCGGCATTGCCAAGAATATCGGCGATCACATCTATCGCTATCTTCCTCAAGCCGCAATTCTTTTGGTGTGTGATTCGTTCGTCCATGAACCTCTGTTTTTGTAGTTTGTTTGCTGCTTGTTTGATATGGAATTTTATTCTATGTATTTTCATCCATTTTCAGTTAGACAACAGGAAGCTTGAAGCTTTGACAAGAACTAAGGACCGGAGCCCCGTAATGCAGGTGGGTACCTTTAACTATTTTTTCTTTTCTTGGGGTTAATATGTTCTTGTTTTTTTTTTTTTTGGTATGAAGAAGCATTGATCATTTTTTTTTTAATGAAAGAAGCGTTGATCATTTTCTTTGTCTAATTATGTTAATTATATTATATGATGGGTGTATGAGTATCTTTAGTTATGAACTGCTTGTAGTATGGTAATTAGTTAAACAAAATGAGAGAGGATTTGTTTATGGTACGTGTTTCTTTGCTTTTCTAGTAACAATAAATTAACAATACTGCTTTGGGGAGATTGGAGCTATTGGTGTGGATTAACAATACATGCGTTTCTTCCGCTTCATAAGCTATTTGTCGAAATTGGCAATGCCAGAATCCACCTACTTTCTGCGGATATAAACAAACATCAAACTTTTCTAATTGCTAATCTATGCTCAACATTATTTGTGGGAAACTCATGTTTTCCATGGTTTTCCCTTTCCCTAAAAGCTGTCAGAATTTTTAATAGAATTTCAGTTCAGTGCATCTTGAAGAGCTGCTTCTCAACATCTTACAGTATCCTTACAATGTTCGGAAAGGATTTCAATAGAGTTGTTGAAGGAATTGGTTAATACCTAATTAATGTTATTCACTAGAGTCCAGTACTCCTTGGATCTCAGAAAATTTTCCATCAACATACTCCAATGATCATAGTGACCATCGAAGCGTGGAATCGCAGGTTGCACAAAGCTGTTTTCTGAAGCCATTGAATATCTTGCTGCGGCAAGAATGAAAGTTGCTGCTTTCTAAGTCAGACCCCAGTGGGGGGGTTCTGATACCAAAAGCAATGACCATTGTGGCATTGGCACTTTTACTTGTGTTTCTGTTGAGGTTCTTCCATTAGTTGTGAAGAATAGATAAATTACCCGGATGCTTGCTCTTAACCAAGTTTAATTTGGATGGGACTCTGGGAATACAGGTGGTTTTTATTGGTAAATTAAACGCTCTGCAAAATAGCATGGCACAAAGTGGAAACAATGTCTCTCCTTGAATTTTGTTGTCAGTCAAGCCAGTATATAACTGTTTAATTCATGTGCTGCTTTCTGTTGAAATTATGTTTAGCAGTTTCTTATCCTCGTATATTCTTTCATTGGTGAATCTATAAACGATATATAAATTATATAAGATGTACCCTTTAACGCTATTTTTCCCAGTTTGGCTGTTGGCGGTGATCTTGTGAAGTGCAAATACGACTTTGACTTATTTTCCTAGGTTATTTTTGGTCGTTTGGTTGATTGAGGCCTTCTTTGTACAAGTTGAAACACTGGCTGTGATTGTATTTTAGAAATTGCTTATGTACCTCCTGTTTTTTCTAAAAGTTTTTCAACTTCGGAGAAGCGTAGGCTCCCTCCCAAATGATTCTGGCGCACATTTTGGTGGTTTTGCAGCAATGTCCCTTGTTATATCCTTTTCCCCCATCTTTTTGGCCCAAATGCGGCAAAAATTGTTGTGATGAATGCTTTGCATGCTCAATTTTGCACGTGAAAAGTGTCGCACAACTTTGAGGACGAAATTCAAAAAAGATAAGAAAAAGAGGATTAAATGAAGCTGAATTTGTGTGAATTGTGCCCAGTCTTTCTCCTCGTTGAGTAATTTCCGTTGACCAATATAAACTTTGATGCTTTAAGCTACGTCTCCAAGCATGTTGATAGCCCTTGTCTGTTCTCAAACAAGCAATTTAGGGAATTTTTCAGCAAGGGCAATGCGAATTGCTCGAGTCGTTTCTCGTTGCATGTGATTTGTGATTTTAAATTTATACTAACAAAGGATAGCAACCATTTGCGATTCACTAATATGCCGTGAGAGGGTAATGTGCAATTGATTAAAAAGTGTAGAGGTTTGTAGCTCAAATGATTAGTATATAATTTTTTTTTTCCGTGATGTTGAGAGACTTGCTTATTCTGAGTGCATACACCTCTCTTCCTATAGTACATATCACGTGATCATAAAATAACACAATATTTTCATTACTTTTTATTTATTTATTATTTACGGGAATTCGAATTTGGGGTAACTTAAACCGTTCAAAAGAGAAATACCAATAATTAACTGGTTGATGCATTAGTTATTAATCTTGATATTTTGTTTTATGACCTTATAATTAATATGATTACAGAAAACATCCCTAAAACAGAAATTAATGACATCTATGCAAAAAAGAAACCACAAAAGAAGAAAAAAAGAAGACACCGCGTGAGAGAGAGATATATTAGAAGCATTACATAATAATATTCGTGGAACATCGTCTAGATCCCCAAACTTAAAAAAAAACATTGAAAAATTGGACTCTCTGCTCTTCTCTGCTCTGCTTTCTCAGTCTCTCTGTCACTTTCTGTTGAGCCGGCGATTCAGCAACTGAAGTCCAACTCAGTGAGTGATGGGTGGCGAGTTACGATACGAGATCGCACAGAATGCCTACATAAAGCTGGTGCTGCACGCTCTCAAGCACAAGAGCTCCGCCGTCAACGCCGTCCTCCTCGGCCGCGTCTCCTCCCAAAACGACGCCGTCGAGATAACGGACTCCGTCCCTCTCTTCCACTCGCAAATCGGCCTCCTCCCCCAACTCGAGATCTCCCTCATCCTGGTGATTCCCACATACCCTCCTCCTTCTTTCTCTCTCATCACACTTCTCCCTCTAGGGTTTCAAAATCTTAAATTGAATTTTCCCACGAAACAAACAGAGTTCGAATTTCTTGAAAAGAGATTTAATTTTTGTTGTTTTGATTGAATTGGGTCAGATAGAGGAGCACTATGCTGCTAAAGGAGTGAGCATTGTGGGCTATTTTCACGCCAACGAGAGGTTTGACGATCACGAGCTCGGCGGCATTGCCAAGAATATCGGCGATCACATCTATCGCTATCTTCCTCAAGCCGCAATTCTTTTGGTGTGTGATTCGTTCGTCCATGAACCTCTGTTTTTGTAGTTTGTTTGCTGCTTGTTTGATATGGAATTTTATTCTATGTATTTTCATCCATTTTCAGTTAGACAACAGGAAGCTTGAAGCTTTGACAAGAACTAAGGACCGGAGCCCCGTAATGCAGGTGGGTACCTTTAACTATTTTTTCTTTTCTTGGGGTTAATATGTTCTTGTTTTTTTTTTTTTTGGTATGAAGAAGCATTGATCATTTTTTTTTTAATGAAAGAAGCGTTGATCATTTTCTTTATCTAATTATATTAATTATATTATATGATGGGTGTATGAGTATCTTTAGTTATGAGCTGCTTGTAGTATGGTAATTAGTTAAACAAAATGAGAGAGGATTTGTTTATGGTACGTGTTTCTTTGCTTTTCTAGTAACAATAAATTAACAATACTGCTTTGGGGAGATTGGAGCTATTGGTGTGGATTAACAATACATGCGTTTCTTCCGCTTCATAAGCTATTTGTCGAAATTGGCAATGCCAGAATCCACCTACTTTCTGCGGATATAAACAAACATCAAACTTTTCTAATTGCTAATCTATGCTCAACATTATTTGTGGGAAACTCATGTTTTCCATGGTTTTCCCTTTCCCTAAAAGCTGTCAGAATTTTTAATAGAATTTCAGTTCAGTGAATCTTGAAGAGCTGCTTTTCAACATCTTACAGTATCCTTACAATGTTCGGAAAGGATTTCAATAGAGTTGTTGAAGGAATTGGTTAATACCTAATTAATGTTATTCGGCAAACAAAAACATCAAGTTCGAAATCATTATTTTTTCAGCTAATTTATAAAGTTCAAATGGGCTTGGATAGGTAGTCTTTCTCCCCTGGTGTAATCCGTATCTTTTTCGTTTGTTAGACCATCAAGCAGTTATTTCTCTTGATTCTGTATGTTGGAACCATTGTTTGTGACTTCATCTTCTCAGACATTAACTTCGTGCTATATTCATGTAATTTTGTATTATGTGGTTGTTTATTTCAGTGTAATTTGTCCTGGAAATTCTCCTTCCTAATCTATTTCAATGTTTAAAAAAACATTCAGCTTTACACAAAGGATGCATCTAGGATTTGGAAGTTAGTCGGCTCTGATGGAAATCAATTAACCATCAAGGAGCCATCATCAAATGTTGTTCTACTGGATTATATCTCAACTGAAAAATGGCAGGATGTTGTAGATTTTGATGATCACCTTGATGACATTAGCAAGTGAGTGCGATACATCATTATACTTTTATTTTCAACCAATTTTTATATTGATAAGTAAATTGTAGTTGACTGGAAATGTAATGTACAGGGATTGGCTGAACCCAGAACTGTTCAAGTAAACTTGGCATTGCTGTCAACATATGTGCTACTCTTCAAATATTACAAATGGCTTCATGCTCAACTCAGTTTCTCATGCTGGGTTTCAGAGGACAAGGGGTGACTTATCAGAGAAATCAGACAGATTGACCGTAATCTTGGTTTATTGTTTGTAAGAAACTTTCGAGATGTAAACAACTGGATATCAGTTATCTTCTCGTATACTTTAATGTTTGATACTAAAGGGTTTCAGTATGTTCTTTTCTTGATCACTTAAAATGGAGTTTATGGTTGTAGAATCGGAACAAAATGTCATTTTTGAGCCTAATGTTATCTTTTCTTTGTATCAAATTTGTGATTGACTGAACAGCTAGTGAAAGGCTTGGTATTTGATGCCAATGCCATGCTGTGTTGTTGGCACAATGTTAAGTTGCATGTTGTTCGACAATCTGAACGCGATTATACCTGGGTTTTATGGCCAAATAAATCTACATGAAAACCATAATGCGAAAGAGATTTTGTTAGGAAGGTAGAAAACCAATAGTTTTTTTATATACATAATCTAAGCAAATGATATCTTATTTTTTTATGTACATAATTTTTCATGTATTCCGTTTTTCATCAAGAGGTTGTCCTTGTGTTCAAACCCCATGCATGAAGGTGTGTTGCTTGAAGAAATTTCCTTATTTAATTAGGATTATTTTTTTTCCCAAAAAGATGATAGGAATTGATTGAATAAAATTTAATTAGAGTAACTAATTCACCTAAGAAATTTCCCTTTTCCACATGTGGCCGCT